AATCTTAGAAACTAATTTTTAAATGTAATTTCAAATCAAAACGGTATAGAAAAATTGCAAGATCGATGAAATTAACAAAATCAAAAAAAATAAATGAAAATATCCAATTTGGATAATATAAAGATTAAGATTAAATATAAAAAAAGAAAAAGTGTATAAGACTCGACGATAAGCCTAAATGAAGACATAAGAAAAATGTTAGGTAAATAGAAATTCTTCTAATCAAATAAAATCAAAACTCATCTCATCTTATCTCATCTCATCTCATCTATTAATGCAACTCTTTCTAGCTTGCATCCTCTGCCTTCCGAGTATTACTTCATAAAATTGTTGTCCGTGTATCGTTATTTACCCAAATGAGGCGGATGGTTTTATTCATAAATTTACTTTTCCAGAATCCGATAGATAACGTCAGTTTGGTGTGTCTTTAGATTTGTGTTGACCTTTTTTTCTGTCCCAACATGACCGCCATTATGAGAGAAGACTACTCTGTTTTAGGATAATTTGCGACCACTCCATTTAATGACTTATTTCATGCTCTGCGCTATTCACGTTTTAAATTTTGAACCAATTATTGCCTCTTTGAATAATTTAATTTTTGCTTGTTTTTTTTAATTACACACTGACGATGCCTATAAATGCGTTCTACTGCACGATTGTTTGCTCATAAGTTGTGTCATGTCTGAGAGTGGTAATCGTATTTGAAGCTAATCACACCCATTTTTCTGCTCTATTTATCTCTCTCTCCTTCTTTAATCCTATCTACATTTGTCTCAAATTCCTACGCCTGTTCTCTCTACAAATGCTATTTTGACGATTTTTCATAATCTCGGATTCCTGTTGGATGTTTTTTGTGAATAATGCCTTCTCTGATTGACGAAGTCTCTGACAGACGAGGACAGACAAAAGTTTAACGTGAGTTTTTCGAACCGGCACAACGACAAATGGAGGACTTTTTGCACAATACAGCAGCCAAGTTGAGCATAGAAATGAAAAGTCGAGTCAGAGTTAAATGCCTGCATTTCTTCCCCAAGACCTGTGCGCCGAGTATTGTACACGTTGTGAG